AGGGGCGCTTTACCAGTGAGCCATGTCTCAAGCCCTTTCTAAATACTTTATCTGTCTAGATGTAGGGGCTCACTAAGTTGCTGAGGCTGGTTTTGAACTCTTGATCCTCCTGCCTCAGCCTTCCCAGCTGTGGAATTATTGGCGTGGGCCACCAGGGCTGGTACATCAGAAAGAGTGGATTGTACTTGAATTCCAACCTAAATTTCAAAAAGGTAATGAATTCAGAAAGCAAATCCTTTTCTAATGCCTACATGTTACCATGATCTGGAGATGATCCAGCTCTGGATGTGTCCAGGAGATGGCTGCCATAGTGACTGCCAGTCATGTGGCACAGTGTTTTCACCATGGAAATTGGGACATGCTGCAGATCAACTTACCACTTTGTTCATAGTCTAGACTTAAGAAAATGATGAGGAAAAAGTTAACAATGCCAGTTAAAAGTAAGTTGTTTATAGCAGTGATATTGTCAATAGCACAAAAAATGGAGAGAGTCATTTTACAGTAATTCACAACTGCTGATTCCACAAAGTTACTCATTTTCTAACAAGTACAATTCCACCATAAGGGTTTGTTGTTTCATCTTGCTCCTTAAGGTAAACAAAAATATAGGTCAAGCAACATTCATGTCGGAACTAGACTCATTTGTCAGTGGCAGCCATAGGATGGCTATGGAAACGAGAGCTGCAAAAATCAGTGAAAGCCTTTATAAGAATCAGTCAGCTAGGCGAAGTTCAAAGTAGAGTGTTGTGTATTTTAATATTATTTGTAAACTGTGTGCTTTACTCCTTTATAGCAATATAATGCATAATAAAGGAATGTATGTGTGCATATACACACACACGTGTGTACACACACACACACACACACACACCCTTACCCTTTCCTGCCCCAGAGAGCTGTCTGTTAAACATTTGCTAGCACACCACTGCCTGGGACCATCAGCCTGGAGGCTGATGTGGTTGGACACAGAGAAGAGGAGGACCCAAATCCAAGGTCCAAGCCCTGGAACTTGTCCACACCAGAGACCTCAAGGAGAACAAGCTGGGTAGGAGCAGAAGCGAGGGGGAAGTGGTCACTGTCATCTCATGTAAGGGACCTCTGAGGCTACAGTACGGGTGGTAAGAACCTGGGGCATTAGGGTCTTGAATCTGGTGGTGGCCTGGGCCACTTGCCACTAGGCAACTTGGGTGAGCCCCTTCACCTTTCTCCGTCCCTTCTTCAGCTAGGAGGTTGGAGGAGTGGTGCTAGCACTGGCACGTCACCAGTTTTGGAGATGAAATGAGGTGATATGGTAAAGCCAGACACTGGCCCTGGGGTGCCAGCACGTGGCAGCTCCTCTCCTGTGAGGAGGTAGCCCTGGCCTGGGTGGAGATTGGAGCAGGCTGGAGGCTGTGGGCACAAGGGCTGCAGAGGTGAGGGGGCCTTTGAAGTATCTGCCTGGGGCCACAGGAGCCACCCCAGGGTGGGTGGTTAGTAGTGGGAGGGGGGAGCCCACCTGAGGAAGGCACAGGCACTGCCAGCGAGGGGGATGCTGAGGGTTCTGCATGAGGTCGGTGTGTGCAGGTGGTGGGGAAGCAAGTTGGAGGGGCCACAAGAGCTGTGTGACAGGCACCGTGGGGTAGAGGGAGCTGGGACTTGGCTTCTGTCCCCAGGCCTCACTCTGGGTGTGTCATTGAAACTGCTGATAGCAACAGCATGTAGGTCCTGGCCCAGAGCAAGTGTCTGAATGCAGAGGCCAGGCAGTCCCCTTAGTGAACAGCGAAGGGGTGGGAACCAGCACTTCTCCAGAGCAGGGTGGGACACAGTGTCTCCTCACATTCTGCCCAGGCTGCGCTGCTCGGGTCAGGGATGACAGTAGGGTTTCAGGATTAGGCTCAGCTTAGGCTCTCTAGGTCTCTGGAGGTGCATCCTTGATTGCCAGTTTTGGCGCTCTAGCATCTTTGATAGAGTGGTTTAAATCAATAAATGTTAACATAACTCTATGATTTTTTGTCCTTTTCTGGACACAGGAGAAGAACAGAGCCAGTGCTGAGTTCCTGAACAGAGGGACTCCTGCTTCCAAGGAGGCAGGTGCTGTGATGGTCCCTGGAGGTGCTGCTGGGGCAGGGGAGGGAACAGGCCAAGGGGACAAGGGACAGTGGGGCTGCTGTTTCTCACTGTGCTATAAAGGATGACTAAATGATCCATAAGTTAATATTAAAATATTATCGTAATATTATAATATCAGCACATCAAACAATAGATACTGCTTAAAAAGAAGCTTAAATTTTAAAAATTTGACTTCTTAAGCTGGGCTGTACACCAATAGTTCCAGCAGCTTGGGAAAATGAGGTAGAAAGGTCAGTTGAGTTCCAAGGCCAGCCTGGGCAAAATATCGAGACCCCTGTCTCAAACAAAACAAACTTGTAAATAATAGCATCAAGGTCAAGAGAGACTATAGGGATGGTGAGGCCTGGGGAATGCCTGTGACACATATGGGTTGGAAGAATGCGGCTCCGTAACGGGCTCCCTGTGAGAGCCGGGGCCCTCTGGGAAATGCTTCTAGAGGGCAGTGTGAGTGCAGATGGCAGGGCCCCAGGGCTGGACACAAAAAAGAGTGGTCAGATGGTTAAGGGGGCAGCCAGACAGGCCTTTGACAGGGGTTTGAGGCAGTCAAATAAGTGAAGCTGTTCAGGAGCCTCTGCAATGACCCCAGTAAGGGGTTCAGGCCAGTGGCTGGGCTGAGAGCTGGGGCCTGGGGTCTTGCTGGGGTGGGGTGGTGGACATCAGATGAAACAGATGGAGACAGACTGGATCTGGTGCTGAGGTGTGGGAGACAGTTTTGGAGTGTGACAAACTAAAGAACAAAAGCCAATGAGAGGGCTGGGGGTGTGGCTCAGTGGTAGAGCACTGTCCTAGCATGTGAGAGGTACAATTCTCAGCACCACATATAAATAAGCAAAATAAAGGTCCACTGACAAATAAAATTAAAAAAAATAATAATAATAATGAGAAGAACATCCCCGAGTGTCAGCAGAGGCCAGGTAAAGGGAGGCTGCTGGTTAAGTAGCCACAGAATGCGGAGCAACTATATCCCTAGTGCTTTCCATGTGTGGGAAGTATGCTGGACCTTGGTGATTCTGTGGTGAACAAAATAAAGATTTGCTGCCCACAGAGAGTACACAACAGAAACAAATACGGATACGTAGAGTTCAAAGCCATGAAGAGAGGACACCATAAGGATGGCAGTCCTTCTTATAAGGTGACTTTTGATGAGACAGTTGAAGGAAATGCTAGAGAATTCACAGGGCTCCCTTGGGAAGTATTTTCTGGGCTGGGGACCTCATGTACACAGGCTGAGGCAGGAAACACTTGGCATGTTGAAAGAATGTCAGTGAGACCAGGAACAGAAAGAGAATGATGAAGAATGGTTAGAGAGAAAGGCCAGAGGGTGCAGAGCCATAGCCATTACTGAAGACCTTGACTTTTACTGAGGGCCCGAAAATCAATGCAAAGTTTGGGCTCAGGGGGAGACGTGAACTGGCTTCTGGGTCAGGGAGGCTGCTGCTGGCTGGCAGCCCACCTCCTGGTCGCACCAGCATAGGTCTGTGACCAACAATGTAGCAGCAGTGATGGGGAATCACTTTCCAGATCGGGTTTTAAAAGAACACTGTGGCTTCCATCTGGCTGCTGCTGCTCTCAGATCCTTCACTTCAGGGGAAGCCAGCTGCCATGTTGTGAGCTGTTCTTTGGAAGGTCCCACAAGGCAAGGATCTGAGGCCTCTGCCAACAGCAGCATCAACTAGCTTGGAAGTAGATAACCCGCCCCCCCCCCCACAGTCAAGCTGACACCATAGCCTTAACTGATGTCATGGTCATGAGACCCTGAACCTTGACCACCCAGCCAAGTTGCTCCCGGGTTCTTGACCTTCAGAAACTGTGTTTTAGCTGCTAAGTTTTGCAAATCTGTTTAAACAGCAATAACTGATAACATGACCCGGAATGTAAACAGAGGTGGTATAGGAAAAGTAGGAAGATCTTATATTTTAAAAAGAGATTGTTTTGCTTTTTTGATATTTGGCCAGAGAAATGAGGTGACTAGTAGTGCCAGCTAGTGAGGTGGGGAAAATAGCAAGAAGGGCTTTGGGCATGAGTGGTAGAGGGCAGTGATGGCAGTGTGGTCCAGACGGGTCAAGCTTGAGATGTTATTAGGCATCCAAGTGACAGTGTAAAAGATAGGAATAGAGGCTGAATTAGAAGAGTGAGCATTGACAGAGAAAGGAAGAGGCCCAGGTACAGACACGCCCTTCAACACAGAAAAGCTGTTGGTGAAGACAGAAAACCCAGGGGAGGCATCTGGAAATGGAAGTGCTTTGCGCAAGGACTGGTCCCCCTGACCATTCCTTGGGTGTGGTCAGTGGGATCGTGGAAGAAAAAGCCAGTGTTGCAGTGTGGAAGGCAAGAGGGATGAAGCTAGAGCAGGCAAGATGACAGCTGACTGAAGTGACAGAACTTACATAAAGGTGACAATGACAATAGCCATTTCTTTAAGGAGTTTTGACTAAGAAGGGGATGGTTGTTGGGAAGAGACAGGGAGCTAAGGTGAGTTTTTAGTTCTAAGGCACTTATTTTCATGGCATGGTTGAATGTTAAGAAAAAAATGTAGAAGAGAAAGGAAGAATCAATTGTGCCTCCACGGTCTTGATGCGAACCTTGAAGAATGTTCATGTGAGTTCCCAAGATGGAGGTACAGGTTGGGATATTCAATGGGACAAGGGTGTGGCCTGTCATGAGCCTATGAGGCAATATGGCCCTCCCTAAAACTATGGGCATAGTGTCCCTCACTGAGCAACTGTCCTGGGAGAAGATGGGGAGGGCGCAGATGCTATGACAAGTCCAAGAGTATTGTGGTTCTGGTGACTGATATAGGGTTTCTCACACCCTAGGCAAGTGCTGCACCACTGAGCTGCAACCCAGTCCCCAAGACGCTTCCTGAAAGCAGATACAGTGACTTCAGCCTCTTATATTTGGTTTCATAGTGGACTTTATTGGGAAAAGCTAGTGTAAAAAACATTCAAATTAATAAAATTTAAATAAGACAGTAAAAGTATACCTTGTAGCTATAGTAATCAATGTAGTAATCACAAATAAGGTAAAATCTAAATTATGGCCTAAGCAAACATATTCATTCTGTCAGGCTTCTATTGCAAGCCTAAGGCAGGAAACACTGCAATTATTAGAAGTGAGCCCAATGATGACTTTGCCTATGCAGTTGGGGAGAAAAAAGCATGTTCAAATTATGGCATCCCAACATCCCAGCCTGAAAAAAGCAACATTATTATTAATGTTCTGCAGCAGAGTGCATTAGTAATTGTAGCCATGCATTATAATTCTTATTTCATAAAAAATAATCGAGTTTTTTTGTGTGTTTTGTTTTTCATGATGTTTTTATCCCTTGCAAGACCTTTCTGGGACATTCCTCCTCCACAGTTGAGTCCACTCTCTTTGCTGAGAGAATGGGTATTCCAATCTGATTGTTACTAACAAGTTAATGTGGGATTTGCTTTGGTTATGGAATTTTTATTTAAGCTTATAAAAATACAGCTAGAAATATGCTCCTGAATCTAAAAGCATTTTTTGACCAATTTAAACATATCCTGGCAAAATTCACCACCTGGCTGGTTTCAAAATCTTCCTATGTAAGTGTTCTCTACTTAGCAAGTATACTTGAGTGAAGAACAGTGATTGATCTTTAAGAGCCCCCGCGGGTGGGGGCAGGTGGTTAAGGCAGAATTAGATGCTGTCCATGGCTTTGAACTCACTGAGGGCCTGCACAGGGTTCACATGCTTCTTCTGAGATGCCCGCTTAATCTTGGTCTGTGTCTCATCCTGCTTCTCTCTCTTCACCAAGGGCTTCTTCTCAGGTGCCTTCATCTTCCAGGACACAGCAGGAAGGTTGAGGGAAGCCATGCCCTGGGACTTTTGGTATTTGGTAGAGGCTACATAGGATGCCTTCACTGTCTGCACCACAGCATTCATCAAGTTCTTGGCTGCCTGGATCAGGGACATGGCACTGTCCACCTACAAGGCACAAATGGGACAGTAAGGAGTCATATCTGATGGCAATGACCCTCTAGCACCACAATCTGGGCAGGTCCCCAGAGTACAGAATACTGGCCAGCAACCTTGTTTCTGATTGGATACAAAAAGCCTTAAAATACCCATGTTTCAGATCCTCTGACAAAGGAAAGGGCGTGCAAGAAAGTATATAGGTCATCATCATTTTGCCTTCTTCCACCCCTCAAACATTCGTTCACAAAACAAACACTGGAGGTGGATTGGCATCTATCTTTTTGACACTGAGTGACTGAAGAACTAGAAGCACTGAGGAGGAATCCAGTCAAGCCCCTATCTGACCAATATACCTATTCCCCCTCTGCTTTCATTCATGACACAGGCATCTCCTCCCTCATTTTAGAGGATCTGGAAGATTGCTCCATAGAAGACAGATGAGTAAAGGGTGTCAAATGTTCAATTTTTTTTTTGGCAGTATTCGGCCTTGTGTATGTTACCCAAGCACTCTGTCACCTTTTTAGAGACAGGGTCTTGCTAAGGTGCTCAGGCTGGCCTCAAACTTTTGATCCTCCTCAGTGTCCTGCCTCAGCCTCCCAAGCAGCTGGGATTATAGTTGTGTCTCATTGTGCCTGGCTGAAATATTCCTTTTATTTATTTATTTATTTATTTATTTAAATATTTATTTTTTGGTTTTCGGCAGACACAACATCTTTGTTTGTATGTGGTGCTGAGGGTCGAACCCGGGCCGCACGCATGCCAGGCGAGCGCGCTACCGCTTGAGCCACATCCCCAGCCCCTGAAATATTCCTTTTAAAGGAAATTCCGTGGGATTAACAGAAGTTGTGGGGACTCAGCAAAACAAGGTGAGGAGGACCCAAAATTGAGACCCGATTAACAGGAAAAAGAATAGCTACAATTCTGCACTATTGGGTAGAAGAAAGCAGACTGTCTACTTTGCAATTTCTGAAGAGGCTTAATTCTTCTCTGGGAAAGATAAAAATATTTTTCCCAATGAGTGGCCAGCTCTGGTAGTGGCTGTAGCTATCACTAATCATGCCATGCTAAACAGAGCTGCAATTCTGCAGGGAGATGTGCAGCTTGTGGCCTCCGGGGACCAAGAGAGAACTTGGGAGTTTCTGCCTAGCACATGTTCCCCAAGTGAGGAGTGTATATAGATAAGACTAGAGGCTGCTTTCATTTTAGACATAGTGGTAAGAAAAGGTGATGAGCAGGAATGCACTAACACTTACCCCAGAGACAACAAGCTCTCCACCAAGGTTCTGGACCTCAGCCTTGACTTTGCTGCAAATGTTGAGCTGGTGGCAGTAGAGGGCAATGCGTTGCAGGTAGGCCAGCAGGTCCTGCTTGCAGGCTGAGTCTGGACACTGAGGGGAGAACAAACTCAGCAGGCTCAATAACACTGCAGGCCCAGTGACAGCACCCCACCCTAGGCCCAGTTCTGAAAGTTTCCTCTCCTCTTGCTGGAGCAAAGGGCAAGAGAGATAAATTACCCAGTTATTTGGGGTGTTCACATCACTTGGCTCAGGGAAGGAGGCAAGTCCCCTCAGGGAGCCCTAAATGTGCTGCATAGCATGGGACATAAAGACTTCCTGAGCCCTCCTTTCACTAACTCCACAACTTGGGAGAAACCACTACTGCCAAGGATTCAATTTTTTAGTAGGGAGGAAGCATATGGCCCTAAAAAGTCTCAGCAAGAGCCTGATTACGTAGAAAAGAATGTGTTAAGCTACGGACACTACCCAGTCAAACAAAACAGCTCTTCTGCCGTGAAGCATTTTACTTGCCCAGTTTTGGGTGCAAATATTAAACAGCCAATGACAGGAGACATTCACTTGAGGCAAAGATGGAGGATGTAGAAGTAAACCAAAGCAAGAAACCTTGACTAAATACAGGGAAACAGTGGCCCTGCCCAGCTCCTGATTACTGTTGAATCTCAGGTTGCTTTACCTAAAGGAGGAATCCTCACACCTCTCAAATGTTTGAAACACTTTCTTCCGATGAGACTGGGGCCTCACTGTGAACAACAGAGTTGTATAAAATGAGGCTTGTAGTTCATTCTGGAGACTGAATTTTTTTCTAAGAAGGCCCTGTGTTTTATGATGGCAGTGTTGGTAGCTGCATGCAGAATAGGGTGAAGACAGGAAAGAGGAAGGGAGAGGCCATGGTGGTTAAGATAGGTGGAATGGAGCTCTGTATAGAGCTGTTAATTTCAGACAGGAAAAACTTTGATGGTGTCAAGATACATATATGGTCACTAGAAGCAACAAGGCTTCTTACTGGGTGGTGTGAAGGATGATTCCAGAATATTTGCTTTGAGTAATGAGGGGCAGCTGTCACTCATCTGGCAGTAGATGAGGCTGAAAGTTTGAATAATTCAGAAAAAAGAATGTGGAGGGAAAAATTAGCTTCTCTGATAAGTCTTAGAGCACCACACTATCCAGGAGATAGAAGCATAGTTTTCTGACCTATTACTATGAGGGAATAAAGGGATGAAACTGCTGGTTGAGAACAGGCAATACAAAGAACATGGAAGTCTGTCCCCAGCTAGGCACAGCAGCATTTCAAAATGCTGCTGGCCAATGGGGTGGGTTTTTTTGTTTTGTTTGGGGGTGGGGGGTCCCCATGCTGGGGATTCTTTCACACAGCTAGGCAAGCACTCTATCACTGACACTTTTAAAGGTCTCCCTAAGTTGGCCTAGGCTGGCCTTGAGTTTGTGATTCTCCTGCCTTAGTCTCCTGAGTAGCTGGATTACAGATGTGCACTACCCCACCCCACTAGGGCTCCTGATTTTTATATGAAATAAACCGTGAGAGAGATACATGTGTTTCTAGTGTGTTAGGGTTGGCAGAATCAGTTTCTGCTCAGACCTGAAGTTCTTAAGAACTGAGAAATAAATAAATCAACAGCAAGTGTTCATTGTATATTAACTGAGATGAGTTCTAATGGGAACCAGACCTAGCTCCTCAGATTTGTCAAAGACACTACAGAAATCCTTAGAAATTTATGGTGGGATTAAAATAGGTCAGAATAATTTTTGGATAATATAAGAGTGCTATGATCATTAATGGCCACCTCAGCAATAGGTCAATCTGAACTGTCTGAGCCTAGGATAAGCTCAGAGATAAGTTCAGGAAAGTTCGTCACTTACGTGATCTGCGATGGTTCGGCCAAGTTTATCCATCCTGGATCCTGCCTCAGCAATTTTCTTGGCAGCACTAATCACATCTGATGTATTTTTGAGTGGTCCTTTACCTCTGAAAAACGAGAATAAGGATCCCTGTCCATGACACCCCCGCAGGTTCAGAGATGAACAGAACAGAAAATGTCTTACAAAGCAACCTGGCCTGTGGGGAAGAAAACTGTCCTGTCTCCTATCAGCCCGCCAGGGTGGGGTGCTGCTCACCGGGTAAAATCAGTCATCTCCATCATAATCATACACATCTGCTTGGCCAGCACGATGATGTCGTTGCCACTGTCATCCCATTTAGACACTTCTGCATCCAGCTTGCTTTTTTCTTCCTGGAAACTGGCCACCTGTTCCGCAATCTTTGCTTTTTGCTCCTGGGGAAGCTGAGCCATGATTGCCTACAATCAGAAGTACAGAAAGCTCTTATGTAAAGAGTGTGAAGTTCTCACAGTGCATTAGCCAAGAATATCTCCAACAGGCAGTGTATGACATAGGTTGGATAATGCTTTAATGGGGTTCATTTTTCCTGAAGGGCTATTTCTTCTCATTTTTTACTGACATTTATGGCAGCCTAAATTCCCAAACCACTTTCAAGAGCAAGATTTAGTGTGCAGGGAAAGAGCGTGAGAGGGGTGGAACTAGTGTGGAACTTTCACAGTCACATCTATGTAGGAACAGAAACTGGTTTAAATTTGGTTTAATTCTTTAAAAGTTTTATCTTCTGCCTCCCAGAAAATGAGAGGAGGCGATAAAGAATGTGTAGAGCTCATTCAGAGCCTGCGGGCTCTGAATGGACATGTCCAAGTTTTCAAAGTATATCAGAAGTAGCTTTAGGATGTTAATTTTGAAGAGAAAGGCAGAGAAGAATTTGCTGAGGAACATACATTCTAGTGGAACATACATTAAGCAGCTATCTGACAGCCACTTAAACCATGTTAAAGCAGCACCTGGAGCCCTCAAGGCCACAGGCCCAGGGCCAAGGCTCTGCCTCTTCGTTTCCTGAAGTGTTCGTGCCTGAGCAGGACTTAAAACAGTGACATGGTCACTGCTCAAGATGGATTTCCAAGGAGTTAAAAAAAAAAAAAAATTCTCCATAGAAATATTTCTTGGTGTCCTTCCAAAAACAAATGCTATTGATTGAAGATTTAATGACTTGACTGCAATGACTGACTGGTTTTCTTCTTGAATGTACCAGTTATTTTTTTTAAACTCATGAATAATTAAAATAGCTCATATCCACGGTATCAGTGAGCTGGGCAAAGGCAGCAATCTTTTTCAAATTTCACAATCCTTTTAACAAATGTTGCATCGACTAGATCCTAAGCCTTTTCTGACCCAGGGATTTATCATAAACCAGAACCCTAGGGCACAGCTGAGGAGGAGGCCCATGTTCCTGCTCTGCTTCCAGTTGAACAGCAGGTGCCACAACTTAGGTTAACTTCAGTCCTACTGTTAGAGAAAAATACTGAGAGTGTTTTCCTGGAAGAGAAAAAGGCAAGGCTTGAGAAGGACAGGAAAGGTCTGCAGAACAAGTTAAAATGCCCCAAGGAGCACTTCCTTACCCGTGCACTTTGGCCAGCTATCAGCTGGTCATCTTCTGTCTGGACGCTCGTCCTGCTTCTGACATCAAAATCTTCTGTCTCAAAGTCAGAGTCATCCAACTCCTCAGGGGTCTGCCACCAAGACAGAGATCGTGAGTCAGACACAACCCTGGGCCTCCAACAACACTGTGTTTCTTGGCCAAAAGCATGAAGGACCCAGAATTCTGGGATTTAAGGTGCAGATTTCCAAACATTAACAGGTAATTAAATCACTCATCATTCTTGTATGGGCCCCACATCAGCACTTCCTAAAAAAGGCTTCTTTTACAGGGGGCAGGGCTTAATTCTTCGTAACACAAAAATCTATTTATATATAAATATACAATTTCTTTGTATGATGTATGGCTTGCCTCCCCTCCCTGTTTTTGAGACAGGGTCTCACTATGTTGCTCTGATTGGTCTCAAACTTCTGGGCTCAAGAGATCATTTTGCCTCAACGTCTCAAGCAGCTAGGACTATGAAGTGCACAACTAGCTGGTTTTCATTTGAAACGTTATTTTTCCGACAGCTGCTTCTAAAGACAAAGGTGAGAACTATTGTTGGTGGAAAAGGTCTTAAAAATAGGGGTGTTTTCTACAGTATTAATCAGACTAATAGAACTTTCCTACTTTTTGACAAAAAGAAAATAACATAAAATTAATACTGGACTTTCTCTTAGGGAATGAAAGACTGTTTTAAGGAGTAAAAATAGGCAATGTATTCTAAAGTTTTTAAACTTTTATCAAAGGAAAAGAGGCAAGTAAGGGTTCAGTAAATTCCAAATGGACTCTTATTGGTTTTAGCTCTTTGCTTGAATTATGAAATAAAGTCTTATTTTACACAAACTATCAGCCTCATGATTAGCTATTTGAAACACAGTGTTGTCTTCCAGGAGCTATCAGAAAGGGGGCAGAGCAAGTGGAACAGCTGGGGTGGGCTCTCAGCCTAGCCAGCTGGCCTGTGACAAGAGGGCAGCAAGGTGAGGCCCTCATCTGCACCTGTCCCTCACCCAAGCACAGGGCAGGGGCTTGTTGTAAGGTTCAAATGGAGGACATGTGAGAAGTGCTCAGAAACCAACAAGAGCATCAAAGGTTCTGACATGTGCAAAGGCTCCTCCCTAAATAAGACAAAGTAAGAATGGTATACGTCACACAAGGTACCAGAAAGCACATCAACATTGAGACCCTTGGGTCCTGCTGATTTTATGGCACAAAATTTGATGCCACCACTGGTGATTTTAATGCTGTGGTCACAAATATCTTTAGTGTTGTGCACTCAGGGGCTTTTCAAAGTAGGGTCTCCTAACATCATCTCTAACCTCCCCCAACCACCCATCACAGACCAAAGAACTACTCCTGCCAAGAAAACCAGTAACTCCTTTTTTAATATTCAAATATCCATTGAGGTTGAGTATCTAAGTGCGCTATTCTGGGCCTTAGAGATACAAAATGACACAAAGATACCTGTTCTTTACATAATCTAATGAGAACAGTGGCAACAAACTAATAAGTGAATTATATACAAATGTTATAAATAAATAGAGCAGTGAAGGGAAACTGGGTAGTCAGGAAAGGTCTCCTAAGGCAGTGCTGTGGGAAGGTGAAGGGAGATGGAGGAGGAGTGTTTGCCTGGGGAAGCAGATGAATAGCAAGGAGGCCACAAAAGAGGGACTTGGCTCACTGCTCTGAGTAAAGGGGACAGCAACAGGACAAGAGGATGGAAAGGCAACAGAATCAGATGCCAGAAGGCTTCACAGGCCAGTGTGAGAATTGAGTGATGGCAGCTTTTGGAAAGTTTGAAGCAGTGGATGACATGATCTAACCAAAGCTTGAAGGCATCACTCTGGCTGCTCTCAGACAATGAGACTGTAGGCATCTCCAGATGGACCAGGTGACAGATGGCTTGTTCAGATTCTCTATCAGGAAGGAAAAGCCAATAAGACCAGATGAGAGGTATGCAACAGAGAGAACTTAAGGAGAATCGAAGGTTTGGCCTGAATGAGGATGATGTTGTGATCAAGGTAAGAAGCTTGGGCATAACAAGTGCTCAGGGAGTGGGCAAGTCAGCTACACAAGCTACACATTGGAGAGTCAGCTTCTCATTGTTGTCCAGGGACTTCCCAACAGCCCCATCAATGTTAGTGAGATAACAAACCAACAAAGAGAAGGAAAAGGGCCAAGAGATTTCTTTCCCCTCTTACTATGGAATAACCAACAGAAAAAGTAGATGAAGTAAGGTAATGAACATGGAATCTCATGCCTGTTGCAGGGATGGCCTCAGCCAGGAGCATAATCAGGGATGTCCGTGATACCAAAAGGAAGCCATGGGGCACAAGCAGAGGGGAAAGACTTCTAAGTGCCTCATTATCCTGAGTGGAATCAGCAAAAAGGCCACATTAGGAAATGGGGGCTCAGGTGTGGGAGGGCTGAGGAGAGCAAGGAAGTATGAAACAGCTATAGACTCTAGGCTAGAATTGGGAGATGGACAACTGATACTGGGCACCAAGGGCCCACACGTGGTCATGGCTTCAGTGACCTCTGTCAGGGTGGCTGTGTTGATCTGTACCATACCCAGCCAGAGAGTGCAGGACTTCACTAGGACTACGTTTTGCAAAGTATGAATAAGGAAGAGGGGAAATGGATATGACCCAGACTCAAAACTAATAAATGAATGAACCAAGGACCTGAGGGTTGAATGCAAATAACAAGTGGGGAGACCATCCAACTAAAGTACTGGTGAGCTCAAAGGACTGTTCTGAGTCACAGTACTGGAAGGAGTAGGTTGAACACTGAAACTGGGATAATGGAGGGGGTGTAGATACTGGTAGTGACGTGACTAAGGCATGGAAGTGAAGTTGAAGTAGGGGAATTATGAGACAGAAATAGGGATGTAGAGCAGAACAGCAAGTGAGAAGCTAAATCACAGTGTCTCCAAATGAAGCCTCTTTCCTCAGCCTTGCATAAGCACTCCTGGCTACCTCACTTTTGTCCTGAAAGGCTTCCCCGTATATTCTATCACTCTTCACATGCCTGTTGTCCAGGGGAAGTTCTGTTAAGACCTTTGTCATTCTTTAGTCCCAGCACAGCTATCAACATGGTAAGAACAGCCATTAGGTGCCAGGACCTTGTGGAACCCATCAATTACACTGTCTCTGTAAAACCATAAAAGCCACCATTACCTCCATTTTTAAGAGAAGAAATCAGCATCAAGAGAGACAAGGGAATTCATTGGATGAAGAACCCAAGCTTCCTGCCTGCTCTTAGGAAGTGGTTTCTCACAACCAAGACAGCACTACAGGGCCTGAAGCATCTCTTAGATGAACACAGCTTCAACCCTCTTCAACCCATTCTGGCTCAGCCTCAGACATCCAGCCACACCTCTGCCATTAGGGCTTTTTTTTTAGTTGGAGATGGACACAATGTCTTTATTTGTTTTTCTTTATGTGGTACTGAGGATCGAACCCAGGGCCTCACACGTGCTAGGCAAGCCCTCTACCACTGAGCCACAAACTCTAGCCTTGCCATTAGGGCTTTTAAAATTCTATTTCTAGATGTATGCTAATATGTAAAGAACCTTGGCAAAATGTACATCACCACTGATATACACGACCTTGGAACCCTCACACACTGCTATACCAGGCTTTAGCTGAATGTGGGTTCCTTAGCACAGCAGCAGGAATAAAGACAGCAAAGCCTCCATCAGCTGGGGCCCCACCAATACATCCAGATGAGCCTGGAGCCTGCATGAGCACCATCAGTGCACCATCTGTACAGCAGGCAGATGCCATATTCCACATGCCTGCTTTGCAGTTACAGCAAGGGTCATCCAGTTGGCCCAGAGAAGAACGTTCACGGACCCTGTCTCCTCAGACTCCAGAGCAACATGCTTATGCTCTCAGCAGCATGCAAGGGATCAACTGCTGTGGGACAGACAGCCAGGACAGCTAGGCCCAGCACCATAGGGGTGTACTAGGGTGGGGTTGGTAGTTTCTAAAACCGGTTGGTTTATGCCCCAGAAGAGGCCAAGGACTTTCTTGCAGACAATGAGAACTGCTGTTTCCTTGGAGAAGACTGGTCAAACAAGGAGGCAGTATACCCTAAGATTCTAGCATCCTGCCTAAAAGTCTAGCATATCCTTTCCAGGAGGGACACTTAATGTAAACAATAACTTTAGCCTATGTTAAGGAAATACTTCCTTCTCTAAAATTAAGAATCTGTATTTCTGTAGTTTCCCCTCCAATTAAAACCAAAGCCACACACTACAGTAACTGCCCTAAATTAAGTCTTCAAGGCCAACTCATGCTAGCTCCCCTTCTCAGCCCAAATTTGGGCTGTTAGTTAACAGTCATTTTATCTACTTATTTGCTTTTTAAATGTTACTTACTTTTTAGTTGTAGTTGCACACAACACCTTTATTTATATGTGGTGCTGAGGATCGAACCCAGGGCCTCACACATGCTAGGTGAGCGCTCTACTGCTGAGCCACAACCCCAGCCCCTTAACAGTCATTTTAGACAACATAATTAAATATATCTCATTCTAACAGCTTTTAGATTCATGGTTTTAATATATTGCCACTGCATCTGCTGAGTTCCAGAATGACGCATAGCGCAAGTTTAGCATATGATAAGAAAGAGGCTGTTAAAATGTCTGGAATGCAGTTACTCACCCTTATCATCAGTACTGCTTTCCTGATATCCCGGATACCATCATAAACCAGGCGAGAGGCATCGATAAACTCATTCTCATCCATGGGCTGAGCAGGGTCTGAGCTGAGGGCTTCTACAGCTGCTTCCACTTGCTCTGTGAAACGAGGCATGACTGAAGAGAAAAAAACAGGGCAGGTTGCACTAGTGAGGAGACAGCATCCTACCAACCTTCCCTGAATCCTCAAGTCAGAAAAGTCAAGGCTCATAAGGAGACTGTACTTCTCCCCATGTGAACAGTATTTATTGGTGAGGTAAATTAAGTGCAGTATTTACAAAGACTCACATAATCATCTTTGTCTCTCAACAAACTGCAATACAGGGTTTGGATGCTTGGGAACTTGAAGTGTGAGACTAACTTGAGGCCGTGTTTAAGAATAGGGCATGGTGGTGCATGCCTGTAACCCTACCAACTCAGGAGGTTGAGACGGCCTCAGTGTCCCAATACCAAGAAGATGGGGGGGGGGGGGAAGGATGAGAAAAATAAAACCATTAATTTAGTATTTACTCATTAATGGGATACTTAACTCAGAAGTTCATCTTAAATAGTATGTTTGGGATTTGTTCCTTGTTTATCCATGATCACCCATGATATGTTCCTGTGAAGCCTGACTTCGGCGGACTAGCTTCCCACAAGTGTGGTGTACTACCCAGAACCTGTAAGACCAGAGCCAAGTTCCATTTCCTTTTTCCTAACCACAGGGCCCAGGCTAACAGAATGATAGCCTGCCCTACCCAGGCCATGTGTGAAGCACTATGGAGGGAGAGTCCCCGCACCTGTGTTGGAGAGCAGCTTGGTGGCTTCTAGAACTTTCTCTGTGTAGACTCCTGGCTCATAGTTGTCCATCTCAGAGGTGACTACATGAATGACCCGGGCTGCCCGACCTCGAATTGCACCAGCTGTGCGGTCCAGACCATCCACATCTTTCTCTTGGAGAGCAATGACACATTTGTTCACATCTTCCAAAATGTGATTCTCTGAGGAATAAGCAAAAAGCTGAATGAGGAAGGGGGCCTTTCACTAGAAGACAATCATTATAACTTGGTATCTGTCATTTACTGATTGTGTGCTTGGTGCCAACCACAATGTCAAACACTTTGTGCACCACTTCACTGAAGGTACCTGATGAACTGTTCCACAGAAACTTAACCTGTGGTCACTACCAGAATAACACTCTTCATTCCAGGTTTTTAAAGGAGAAATGCCCATCTTTTAGGCACCATTGTTTTATAAGCCATACAGAAAATTCTTATCACAGAAACTTTAAGAACTCATCTTCCTTTACTAATTTCACTGACCACACATTCTGAAATCTCAATCAGAAGGACATGTGTTGACTGTTAGGCATTATCCATCCAGTCTCCACTCTCCCTCCAGGAGATGCTACTCATATTCAGAAGCCATTATAGCCCTGAGAAAGAAGTGCTGGAAAGCAAGTTTAAGCCTCTTCTGGAGGAGGCTGATGGAGTGAAGTATTTAGGAACCCTCTCGTGGTACATAGATGGGTTGGGTCTATTGTGATATCTGCAGGACCCCTAGAGGCGGGAAACCTGTGAATTCTGTTAGACTGACAAGAAGTTCCTCCAAGTCATATAGTGGGATGTGGAAGGTTCAAAAGTATTCTCCTCAAAGCAAAAAGCTTAAAACTGATTTTCAAGAACCTCAGAGCAACTGAGCACAGTGGCTCATAGCTATAATTCCTATGTAATCACAGATACTGGGGAGGTCATGTCAGGAGGATTACAAGTGTGAGGCCAGTCTTAGCAACTTAGCAAGACCCTATTTCAACATAAAAAGGGATGGGGCTGTAGCTCAGTGGTCGAGTGCTCCTACGTTCAATCCCCAGTACCACAAAAATAAACCAACTCAGAGCAAGGGGCTCACTTTCAACTTCATCTATAAATAGAATAACAAATGTCCAAAGGATGAGTGGATAATGAGTTACATGTCCTATGCAGCCATTACAATGACCAAGGGGCTGTAGCTCAGTGGCAGAACGCTTGCTTAGCATGCATGAGGCGCTAAGTTCAATCCTCAGTACTACATAAAAATAAACAAATAAAATAAAGGCATTCTGTACATCTACAACTACAAATTTTTTCTTAAAAAGATGTTGCATTAAAAAAAAAAAAAAAAAGGCCCAGGCAGATCTGTAGGGAATGACTTAGAATGGGAGAAGGAGGTACTCTTATTGACCCACAACTGCAGAGACCACCAGCAAATAGTCCAAATGATGGCTGCAATAAGTGGCAATATGGTAAATCCTCAGGTCATCATCTGGCTATGTCCCTTCTACTCATAAAGAAGTCTTCAAAAGGCATGTAAGAACTCGTAGAAGCAGTGTCTGGTATAACAGGTGAGTATTAATGGTCCTTTGGAAAAGCCAGAATAATGATGGCAAATGCAATCTTTAAGAAACAAATATTGGTATTTTTCTCCTGACCAGCTCTGGTTTTCTAATGCTTTGAACATGTCATTATTCAGGATAGGTTTCTGATTCAATCAACTTCAGAAGCCACTATCCCTTTCCTCACAGCCTCCACCAACATACTCAGTCAAATTACAAATGACAACGTTTGGAAGGGAAGTAACAATTTGACCTCTTAAAATACCCGAAACATGAAATTGCTCATGGTATAACTCTTAACTGATTTCACTGACCACACATTCTGAAATCTCAATCAGAAGGACATGTGTTGACTGTTAGGCTTTATCCATCCAGTCTCCACTCTCCCTCCAGGAGATGCTACTCATATTCAGAAGCCATTATAGCCCTGAGAAAGAAGTGCTGGAAAGCAGGTTTAAGCTTCCTCTGGAGGAGGCTGATAGAGTGAAGTATTTAGGAACCCTCTCATGGTACACATAATTTCTTCTCATCTCAAGGTGAGACAGAACCAAGTGGAACCTAACAAAGAATAGAGCCACTGCATTGCAAGTCTACAGGCTGCACAATGCCCCGTGGGTCACGAGAACCTTCCTATCACAATTTCCCATAAGACTGCAGGAAGGATCTCTGTTATGAGCCTGCAAGTATGATGAAGCAAGATGAAAATCACAATGAGAAATAACCAATGATGTGAAAGAACTGTTGGTTTTAAAAAAAAAAAAAAACAATAACACAACAACAACATTAGGAAAGTCAGAATTCTTACAGAAGGGAAAGATAGATTACCACAATACAGTTCATACCATATTTTAGCCTCTTAAAAAATCATGACAGATAGAAAGATGGTGAGTTAGAAGAAGGGTACAATCCCCAGCAGTTCATCAGCTCATGATTTAAACAGTGGTAATACCACTTTAGTGAGGTAGGTGACTAAGGGAATTCACTGAAATTCAACACTGGACAGTAACAAAATCAGACAGGGAAAGCATGGTGAATAACATTGGCTTGGGGGAACTTGTAGAATAGAGAAGCAGGCTGATCTTAACCAAACCCAGAGACAATGGGTGAGTGAAAAACAACCAAAATCACTTGGCTAATGGGTGGAGAGTCTGGTGGGAACCATTTTTAAGTGGCCACATAGCAGTGAGCAGAGGTGGGATGGAACTCATAAAAAGATGTTGCCAGCTTGACCCAGCAGTTGCCCATTGTGGGATTCAGAGGGTACCTGGACCAGCATCATTGAAACAGGCACAATGAGAATTCTGTGTAAGGCAATTCAGGCTGGGATACTGAGGAGACCAAGTCTCTTTGGTTATTGGTGCCCAATGCAAGTAAGTACCTGGAAAGATGCCAGTAACCAGTCAGCTCTGCATTCCAGGTCTGATCCTGGATAATTCACATCCATGGCAGTGAATATGTCAGGCCTTGGGAGGTTCTGACTCCTCACCCTGAAAGTAGAATTTCAGGAGGCCACAGGTGCCCAGCAGAGATTGGCATCTGCCCAGCAACAGGGTATGTGGTGAAATCTCAGATACTCAAAAAGAGTTCCAAAGGTTAGCCAAGATTATACCCACCTTCTAATTTATACCTCTGTACTAGCGAGCCCCACTATGGAAGTACATCATTTGTCAGCAGTCCCATGTTTATCCCATCCCACACTGAGACAGGAAGCTGAGAATTACTAAAACTAACTTTGGCTCCTGGCCATTCACAGCTGGCAGCTTGATGAGAAACAAAAAAGAAGGGGGACTTAACAACCCCCAGTCCTTGACATAAGGGTCACAGATCCCCAACACTGAAAAATACACAACAGTATAAATAATGAACATCCATTCCTGCCAACAGTTTAAACCACTGCAGTGGAAAAAAACCCCTTTATTTCTCATTAATTTTTTTCCCTTATTTCCCCTATTTTTCCTTTTTGTAATTTTTTTTTTTTTACTTTTTTCCAATCTATATGATTGTGTGTTCCTGCTGTGCTGATTATATATGTATGTGTGTATAAAATTTTTCTTTCATCTTAACTGCTTTCTTCATTTATTATTTAGCTTTAGAATAAGGCTTTGGTTGGGGATAAAATTTTACATGGGTATGATTTGTTTTGATCTTTTTTTTGATTGCAAGTTTTCTTCACTCTCTTCCCCCACTTATAGCCAAACTGTTCGGTTCCCTCTTCCTCTGCTTTATTACTTTTAGTTATGTTCTGCTCCTCCTTTATATCTGTCATATGCTACCTGCTTTTCCTCTGTTCACTTTTAAATATATCCAAAATTTCTCTTGCCATCCTACTCTATTTTTCTCTTAAGAAACTGTATCCCACTAGCTGATAGAATTTCACAGTTTATGTAATTCCTACCCCATTCGTGTTTTTGTGATTATTAATACAGTGGATGAGGTAGTAGACATCTGCTATTTAATGTCTGATCTAGTTCATGGTTACTTATTATTGGTGCTGATGTTAAATGCTGACCCCACCATTCCTCTACAGGTGCTAATTCATGTTATAGATGTCAAAGTAGACACAGGACATTTATTTTAAGGCTTAACAATGATTGCTAACATTAATGCTATAACTTGCTCCCCCTTTCTCTAAGAGGGGCTGGGAAGTGATTAGGATACTTCGAGTTCACAGAGTGGAGATCCTGCTGCTGAGCAACACTCAACAAATCAACCACAAAACAGCAAACCTCACTCGATATATGAGCTAGCCCTGCTAGAGCCTCAACACTATCTCAACACAGAGAATAAGGGAGACAATAAAAGCAATGACCAGGCCCCAAATAGGAACTACTAGAGAGAGACCTCAGGTTCTACTCCTGGATATCAACTCATTTGTTAATAGAACAAAACAACCACCACCACCAAAAACAAAACAAAACAAAAAAAAACCCCCAAAAAAACAAAACAAAACAAAAAACTACATACCAAAGAACAAATGCATAAAAAGAAAGAGGAAATTAACTGATACACAATTCATGAAGAAACAGGCAAACATCTCCCCAAAATTCACAATCCCCCAAAGGAACTGATATATATGGAAGTGAAGGAAATCCCAGAGACAGGCTATAAAATGATAAAATAAAAAGATCTAGGGAACAAGTTAAGAGCAAGTACAGGAGGTGAAAGCACATTTCAATAAGGAAATGGAGATAGATACTGAAAAGAAACCAATCAAAATCCTGGAAATGGTAGAGACACATGAATTAAATTATCACTTGGAAGTGTCACTAAACAGATTAGGCTGTCTAGAAGACAACTTCAGATCTTCAACATAGGATATAAGAATATAAAAATATACAACTGGGAAAATTCAATGTAACAAACCTGAAATTCACTGGGACAGAAGAGAACATGTAGATACAGGCTAATGATATTGAGAACCTCTTAGTGACCTAGCTGCAGAAAATTTTCCTAACTTCAGAAATGAGATAGACATCCACATATAAGATGCTTATAACAGAACCTCAAAAAGACAAGATCAAAAAAGAACCTCTCCAAGACACATCATAATCAAAATGCCTAACAGAGAATAAAAATATGAAAAGCTAGAAGAAAAAAAGTCAGGTCATATTTAAAGGCAAACCAATGAGG